CAATAATTTTTTAGCATTTACCTTCTCATTAGGGGTGAGCAGCAGATATTTCGATTCGTTCAAACTGACCGAACCGAACCAAACCAAACCGATCCGTCGTATTTTGGACGGATGCGTGATAACTAGTGGATGGTTGCAGATCGATTTTTTTCAATCCGCCTAGTTTTAGACGGATAGCAGATTTGAGGTTCATTTGGCTGTAACCGAACCACCAAACCGCAAGCATCTCTACTAATTTGTAGAACTTTGTCTTTTCAATTTGTTTACATATTTTGTTTATCTTTTCAATTGAAATAGAGTTTAGATATTCTGTTGTGTTTTCAATTTGTTTTCAATTTAGAAATTCTTTTATCAAATGGCAAAGGTTGATATTTGGTATTTTTGTATAGAAAATATAAAATTTAATTTTGTCATTTTAAAAAAAAATTAAATTAAATAATTTTTGAATAAAAAAAATAATGAAATAGTTTTTTTAATACATGGTTTTCTTATATGTATTTATTATTAGAATTTGATAATTTACTTGTTAATATTTTAGTTATGTTGAGTTGGATTGTTATTAAAAAAAATATTAACAAGTTGTTGTATTATGTTCAAAATTTGTAGAAGTTTAAACTGTAAAACCGATTCGCATCCATCCGTCAATCCACTCATTCTGCATCTGTCAATCCAGTGAACAGATGCAGATTAATTTTTTTCAATCTAACTATCTAATGGACAGATGACGAATTAAATATTTCTCATGCCGCATCCGAACTGCGAACACCTACTGCTTCCCATATATAGGTAGGTGGGAAGGTAGTTTATATTCTAAAAGTTGGGGTTCACATGTATTGTTGGTGAGTAATAATAAATACCAATTAGCTTTTTGGTTTTTAAAAAACACTTTTAAAAAAATTAAATTTTTTTATTTTTCATATTTTTTTATTTTTAATAAATTTTTTTTGATATTTTAAGTAATTTTTTTAAAAAATTTTTAAACACACTTAATATAAATACACTTAAAAAATATAATATTTGTGAAAAAAATTTTAAAAAATTTCTCAAATACCAAAAATACAAAGAAAAAAAATGAAAATACATTACATTTTTTTATATTTTGTGTAAGATTAGCCATTGCTGCAACAAGAAATGAATCGAGGTGCCTTTGGAAAAACCAAGTACTATTTATAGGTCTATTTCTCAGTTAACTTGTGGGCCACCGTGGTTAAATACCATCTTATCCCCAGAGATTTGAAAATCCACTTTTGAGACAAATATTTAAGCCTAGTTCGGGAAGATTAAAGAAGTGTATTTTTTGACTTTTTATGAAATATAGGTTGAATTTGGGTTGGGTTTGAAGTAATGTGTTAGAGAGGTGATGTGACTTAAATAAGATGATATGACTTAAATAGGATAGTGACTTTTTGACTTTTTATCTTTTTTCAATCATACCAAACTTGGTCTTAATGAACCGAGATTGGGGCTCCTTTCTGCGGATTGGACAATACTATTTGAATTTGTGGGCTCATTACAATTTGCATAATCAATTTTATCAATCATTTTATATATTTTATTCACATAAAAAATTAAATCGATTTAATAATTGTAACTTTTTTTATTTTCACATTTATCACAAAAAAATAGATAGTTTACTTTTAAAAATACAATTTTCATACATTTTTTTTTTTGTGATAAACGTGACAAATTAAATATTTTACAATTATTAAATTGACATAATTTTTTGTAAATATAATACACAAAATGCCCGATAAAATAAACAGTTTGAATCATTGAAACAGAACCCTGGTGAATCCCACACCAAACAATACTCTCTATTTTATTAGCATATAAAATAAAGAAATATATAAACAGTGATTGTATTTACTTTTATAATCATTTCATTTAATATCTAATTGTAAATATTTTTTATTTTGTTACTGTAATGTGTTGTCTAAAAAATTTCTTTAAAAAAAATCAATTGCTCAAAAATAGTTTTTGTTTATGGCACAAATTTTATTTTATAATCATTTCATTTAATACTTAATTGTAAATAATTTTATTTAGTTAGTTGTAAAGTTGTTTAAAAAAAATGTCTTTTAAAAAAAAAATAGTTCAAAAATAATTTTTGTTTATGGTATAATTTTTTTAATAATAATTTCATTTAATAATTGTAAATATTTTTTATTTAGTTAGTTCAGGCATTAGTCAAACATAATTTTATAGACATTTAAAATTAATTATACTTAAAGTCATTAACTATTGAAATAAAATATAAAAAGTTTCTTTTATAGTGATTTAAAAATATGAAATATATTGAATCATACTTAAAAATTAACAAAAATTGATCAAAATTTATTTTAAATCCTAATAAATGTGATTTTGAAAAAAAAAATGCATATCGGTAAGTTTTTTTTTTTTAAATTGTGCGAAAAATGAAAAATTCACGGTTCCAGTTACCGTAATTGTTATGTTACGGCTTTTATACCCCACAATTGCAACTGGTCACTGCAACTGTTATGATGACCGTAATCGTTTTTCGAAAGCTTAGCGGTGATAGTAACAGTGATAGCACAACTATCGAATTTGGAGCATCACCACGTCGAAAGTCGTTGCACAAGTATGAATAGTTTTAGATATGACTTTGATGAACGGATTTCTATAATTTCCAGATAGTTTTGGATTTGTTTAAAAACCTAGATATGTATATAGTTTTTGGATTGCTTAGAATTTTTTGGATGGTTTTGAACATAAGGATAGTTTTTGAAGCTTCACAAACATAGTTTTTGGATGTATGGAATGTATAGATAATTGTTGGATGTTCATGATTATGGATATAATTTGTTTTTGATATTTTAAAATAATATTTTGGTGGTTGATTAATTTTTTGTGAAACTTGTTTATAATATTCTTTTAGATTGTATAGAGCGGGTCAAATAGAAGCTGTTGAATTAAAAGAAAAAATACATATTCTACGGTCAGCAAAAAAAAGGCCATTATATGAAATATTCAACGACGAGCAAAAAGCATTGTGGTTTGTTTCACGAATGAACGGCGTGTAAAAGTAGTAGAATTCTTAAAATATGACGCACAAAATTCGCTGTTAAAGGTTTTTTAACGGCGTATTGTGACGTGCTATTAAAGTGAATGACTTTTCATGACTGATTATTATACAACTTCACCACGACGTGCATTTCATGTCGTTAAAAGTTTTTCTGTAGTAGTCCATAGCAACTCTCTTATTATACATATAAGATCCAACTCTATTATCACATCATTAAGAGTGAATTTATAAGTCTAAAAGTATGGGCCATTAGGATTTTTTTTATAAAAAAAAATAACATGTACTATAGGAAAGAAAATTAAAATTCAGGAAGAGAATAATACAAAATGACAAACTACTATACACTACATTAAAAAGTTAATGAGCAATTATATATTGGGATTTAACACGATGGTCTAATAGTCATATCTTAAGATGTGGTAAGAGAGAGAACAAATTCAAATTGATGGAGTATCGACAAACCATTTGAGTTATAATCTAACTATACTAACATATTAACGCTATCTTTCTCTCTCTCACACAAAAAAAGAAAAAAAAAAGTCCTATAAATTGGGAGCACTTGTTTACAATATTTCATAGTTTCGTCAATTGATTTCTTGTTGTGGCAATGGCTAATCTTACTCTAGCATGAATGTTTCACTTCCTTATGTTCTTGACTCTTTTGATGAAAACACAGGCTCGTGTTCTCAAAGTAATAAAGATTGAAAGAGAAACTATTTTTCAAAACTTAGGCTCAAATCTCTCCAAACCAAAGACAAACAAAGCAATGTCAGTTCATGCAAGATCAGTGAGAGAATCATCAAGAGGTTCAGATCCTATACACAACTCTTCACCACCCCCGTCTTTGGTTTACGCACATGATCCCTGAGAAAATCACCAAGTTGCAGCCGTTTGAAATTCATAGCCTCAGCTGTATTTGCATTTAATGTTTTCACATTGTTAGTTTTATCTATATATAGCTATTGTATTTTGAGAATTCATAGTGTGGAAAAAAAAAAAAAGAGTTAGAGAGTAAAAAAGTGTGTTTTTTATTTCCTCAGTGTATTCTAAATATTTGAGTGAAATAAATCCGTTTTTCAAATTATACATTCTCTCTTGTATTTGTTTTGTGAACCACCATAAGTGGTTTGCACTCCACTCCCACCAACAGTGGTATCAGAGCACCAGGAGGGCCTGTTTTTTAAAAAAAATAGTAGAACGGAGCATCGTTTCAAATCTTGCCCAGAAATCAAAATTGTTGAAATACATTTTTGATCACACCAGTGTATAGGTCTCATCGAGACGATCACACTGAAAAAAATCACATTGAAAATCGAGCCCTACAGAGCCCGCACGCGCCCCATGTGCCTTTGACGCCGCCACCACACGCAACCACGCGCCCACGCATCTCCACGCGTCTTCTTCCCCCGGATTTGCAGAGTTCGACATGTCTGACGCACCATTAGCCTAGATCCGTATCTAGAAGCTGACGTCATTGGCGACGCCATTGTTGACGTCAAGCCGAGCTGAGCCATAAGCCGAGTTGAGCCACAAGTTGAGCTGAGCAGCACCGTCACACCACTGACGTCATTCGATCCGAAAAAACTATCCGGTGTTTCTTAGGAGTTCCAGATTCCGCCGATTTGAGCCATTCAATTATTTTTGTTAGATCTAAGCCGTTTGAAGTCCGTTTTTGGTGATTCAATAGTGCTTTCCAACTATTTAGAATATTCCAGGCACATCTATATGATCAGAATTTGCAAATTCCATCCTGAAAATTTGCAGATTTCTTGAAGTCAACCAATGGCCAATACAAATAATTTCTTTCAACCCCAGTTTCCAAAACTCAGAAAGGAGAATTATGAAAATTAGAGTATTCAAATACAAGTTCAACTAGCCTTACAAGATTTATGGGAGTTAGTGGATCGAGGATATGATGAGCCAGCTACTCTCCAAGATGAAAGAAATTGAAATGAAGCTCAGAAGACGGCGTTAAAAGATTCAAGGAAGAGAGATAAAAAGGTCATGTATCTACTCTATCAAGGCATTGATGAGTCAAGCTTTGAGAAGAATTCAGCAGCAGCAACCTCTAAAGAGGCATGGAGTGTTCTTCGCAATTCACATCGTGGAATTGAGAAGACGATCAGAGTTCGACTCCAGGTGTTACGTAGTGAATTCGAGATACTGCACATGAATGAGAATGAGTCAATTTCTGAGTACTTCAACAAAACATTGACCATTGTTAATCAGATGAGAAGATATGGAGAGAAGATAGAATCTCTTCAAGTGATGGAGAAGATTCTTCTTCGATCACTCAATCCTAAGTTCTAGCACGTGGTTGTAGCAATAAAAGAGTCCAAGGATCTCAGTGCCATGACCACCGATGAGCTAATGGGCACACTTGAGATTCATGAACAAAGGATCAACAAGAAGACTCCCTCAAGTTCTCCAGAGCAAGCTCTTCAATCAAAGTTGTCTTTCAGAGATGACAGAAACGATCAAGGGGAGACATCACAAAGAAGCCGAGGAAGAATCCGTGGTTACAATAACCGAAGTTCTGTTTTTCGAGGAAGAGGCGGAAGAGGTCCAGTTGGAGGAGGAAGAAGTCAACCACATTTTGCTCCAAGAGGAAGAACAAGAGGAAGAGGATGTGGTTACAACAACTGACCAGGATTTGACAAAAGCAATGTGCAGTGCTATCATTGCCACAAGTTCGGGCATTATAGCAATGAATGCCGAAGTAGATCAACAACAGAAGCCAGAGAGCAAGTAAATTTTGTCGAGCAAGAAACAAACAAAGTCGGACCTATAGTCTTGTTTGTCCACCATGAAAATACTAAAAACCAAAACAATGTTTGGTATCTAGATTCGGGAGCCAATAATCACATGTGTGGTAAAAGAGAGTTGTTCGTCGAGCTTGACGAGACTGTACAAGCACAAGTCTCATTTGGTGATTCTTCAAAGACTCCTGTGAAAGGAAAAGGCAATATTCTGATCAAGCTCAAGAATGGAGATTATGATTATATCTCTAATGTTTATTATGTTCCTACCATGAATAACAACATTTTGAGTATGGGACAACTCCTAGAGAAAGGATACGACATCAGCATGAAAGATTGTCATCTTACCATCAAAGACAATCATGGTAATTTGATCGCTCGGGTGAGAATGACCAAGAATAGGGTGTTTGCATTGAACATCCAACATGATACTGCGAAGTGTTTAAGTGCCATCATCAAAGACAAAGACTGGCTATGGCGTTTGAGGTTTGCACATCTCAACTTTGGAAGCTTGAAGCTGTTGTCAAGCAAGAATATGGTGAAAGGGCTTCCTCATATTGCTCATAGTAATGAAGTATGTGAAAGATGCAATCTTGGCAAGCATCACAGAACTACCTTTGCCAAAGAAGTGAAGTGGAGAGTAACAAAGCCACTGGAGCTAGTGCACACTAATGTGTGTGGTCCATTGAAGCCAATGTCAAATCGATAGAATAGATATTTTCTCACCTTCATTGATGATTATAGTCGGAAGACATGGGTGTATTTTCTTAAAAGAAAATCGGAGGTGTTCAGTATCTTCAAAGAATTCAAAGTTCTTGTAGAAAAACAAAGCGACTATTACATCAAGACATTGCGGTCAGATCAAGGTGGAGAGTATATATCAAATGCTTTTGAGAATTATTGCAAAGAGCATGGAATCAAGCATCAAACAACACCATCCTATACGCCACAGTTGAATGGTGTTGCTGAAAGGAAGAATTGCACAATCTTAGATATGGCAAGGAACATGTTGAAAGGAAAATGATTGCCCAAGAAATTTTGGGCTGAAGTTGTATCATGTGCTGTGTATCTACTAACCAGGAGCCTTCATTCTATGACTCCAGAAGAAGCTTGGAGTTCACATAAGCCAAGTGTCAACTATCTCAGAATATTTGGATGTGTTGCGTACACCAAGATTCCAGAAGCAAGAAAGCTCGATGATAAGGGAGAAAAATGTATCATTGTCGGATATGGAGATAGAACAATAGGATACAAGTTGTATAATCCCATTACCAGAAAGGTGATCATGAGTTGAAATGTGATATTTGAAGAAGAAGAAGCTTGGAACTGAAATCAAGATGAAGTTGTTAAAGATGCAAAACTCATTCTTGAAGATGAAACATCAAAAGCTCCGGTTGAAATTACAAGAGAAGTTCAAGATGAGCCACAAACTCCTCCATATAGAATACCGGCACCTAGGTCACCAGTTTCTCATAGAAGTGATGCATCATCATCATCATCAGATTATAGTTTTTTCGAACAACCAAGACCAATGAAAAATTTGCAGGAGATATATGAAGCTGCAGAAGAAGTAGATATGAATTTGTTCTTCCTATTCGCAGATAGTGATCCACTTACTTTCTCAAAAGCTGTCCAAGAAGATAAATGGAAGAAAGCAATGGATGAAAAAATTCATGCCACTGAGAGAAATGACACATGGAAGCTTACCAGTCTACCGGAGGGGCACAAACCCATTAGAGTGAAATGGGTATACAAGACAAAAAGGAATGCACAAGGCGAAGTGCAACGCTATAAGGCAAGATTAGTGGCAAAAGGTTACAAGCAGAGAGCTTGAATTGATCATGGAGAGGTGTTTGCTCCAGTTGCCCGGTTGTAGACTATCAAGCTAATGATTTCTTTGGCTGCCCAGCACAAATGGCAGATCTATCAACTTGATGTGAAATCTGCATTCCTTAATGGTTTTCTTGAAGGAGAAATCTATATTGAACAACCTTCGGGGTATGCTCAGAATGGGCATGAAGACAAAGGGTACAAATTGAAGAAAGCACTTTATGAATTGAAACAAACTCCGCGTGCATGAAATACTAGAATTGATCAGTATTTTCATGACAATGATTTTGAAAAATGCCCATCTGAGCACGTACTATATTTGAAGAAGGAAGCTGATGGAAGCATGTTACTTGCTTGTCTTTATGTTGATGATTTAATTTTCACCGGAAACAATCCAGCCATGTTCAAAGAATTTAAAAGAAGCATGATTCAAGAATTTGAAATGACATATATTGGATTGATGGCTCATTTTCTCAGCATTGAAGTGGCACAAAGAAAAGATGGAATTTTTATTTCCCAAAGTGGCTATGCCAAGGAGATTCTCAAGAGATATGGAATGGAGAATTGCAATCCAGTGAACACTCCTGTGGACAGTGGAGTAGAGCTCAATAAAGGTACAAAGGCGGGTGATGTGGATCCAACTTATTTCAAGAGCTTAGTTGGAAGTCTTCACAATCTTACTTGCACCAAGCCAGACATACTCTATGGAGCAGGACTGATTAGCAGATATATGGAAACACCGGATTAGTCACACCTATATGCAACAAAGAGAATTCTTCGCTACATCAGAGGTACAATCGATGATGGTTTATTTTATAAACCAATTGATAATTTCAGTCTTGTTGGCTATTCAAATAGTGTCTGGGGACGTGACTTAGATGAGCGGAAGAGCACTACTGGGTTTGCTTTCTTTCTGGGAAATACAGTGTTAACTTGGTCGCCCAAGAAGCAAGCTATTGTGATACTGTCAACTTGCGAAGCTGAGTATGTTGCAACCAACTCAGCTTTGTGTCATGCAATTTGGTTAAGAAATGTGTTGAAGCATTTAGGATTTCCACAAGAAAATCCTACTGAGATTTATGTTGATAATCACTCAGCAATTGCATTAGCAAAGAACCTAGTTTATCATGAAAGAAGTAAGCATATTGACACTTGCTATCATTTCATTCGAGAGCATGTGAAAAATAAAGAGGTGGAATTATTTCCTTGCAAATCTCAAGATTAGCTTGCAGACATTTTTACGAAGCCATTGAAAAATGATCTGTTCAACAGAATGAAGTTGATGCTCGGGATAAAACAGCATGGAGAATCAAGATTAAAGGGGAATGTTGTGAAGTAATCTTGATATAAAAAATTGTTTTTCCACGGGCCTAAGAATAGAGGCTGCAATCAAGTTTGTCAAAAGTGGAGGTTGCAAATTAAGTTTGTCAAAAGTGATTGCAATCATTTGAAATTCATAGCCTCAGCCATATTTGCATTTAATGTTTTCACATTGTTAGTTTTATCTATATATAGCTATTGTATTTTGAGAATTCGGAGTGTGGGAAAAAAACAAAAGTCGAGTCCGAGCTGTAGCGAGGGTCCCCCGCGGGCTTGTTACAATAGCTATTGTATTTTGAGAATTCGGAGTGTGGGAAAAAAAAGAAAAAGAGAGTTAGAGAGTAAAAAAGTGTGTTTTTCATTTCCTCGGTGTATTCTAAATATTTAAGTGAAATAAATCTGTTTTTCAGATTATACATTCTTTCTTGTATTTGTTTTGTGAACCACCATAAATGGTTTGCACCCCACTCCCACCAACAATTCAATCATTTTCTCTTTATCAATCTTATTCTAAGTTTCGAAGAGGGAGTGATTGATTTAATATATACTCTTCTCTCTAGTGAACTTGCCTTTCAAAATTTCAAAATAAAACTAATTTACATATTTTAAATTTTTTTTATTCAGATTTACCATAGACTTTGAATAAATCTGAATCACATAATTTTTTGGTCTTGCGTGAGAAGTTTATTGCATGCCAAGATTATTGATATAGAGCATATACATTGTCTGTGTTCTTGCGGCAGGAAATATGGCGCGTAAGTGGCAAAACTAGTGTTTGAAGAGTTTATTTTATTTTATTTTATTTTATTTGGATAAATTACCATTAATTCCTAATAGTGTTGGGATCTGGGATCCCGCCCAAGACCTTATAGAAATCAAAACAAGCAGAAAAACACACCCACACACAAGGAGACACAATATTTTACGTGGTTCGGCCCAATGCCTACGTCCACGGGAGAGTAACCGGTTATCACTATACCAATGAGGAGATTATAGAAAGATTACAATAGAGGAGGAGCTCACACTCTCCTCACTCAGCCACTCACCCGTCTCCCTCGCTCACACCGAGGGAGACGGTCTCTCCGCCTCACATCTCTCGCACTCTTTGGTTCACGGTTTTCTTCCTCACTTACTTACTCACACTTTGGCCTCTCCTCTCAACCTCCATTTATAGGTGAGGGAGTAGGTGGGAGAGCCTTTGGGCAACCTCCATCCTTGACTCTTCGAGATGGTTGGTGGCCGCCAAGGTGGACTTTGGTTGGTTGCCTTCCCATTGTTGCCAACCAAACTTGACTTGGATGATCACCCCTTTCACACATGGGTGAATTCAACAAATAGGTGGACTTAATTCCCATTAAGTTCTATTAAAAATAAGTCTTGATAAAATTATCACTAAAAATA